AGGACATGCCTGGCGTGGTATATAAAACCAACCATTCCTTTCTTGCTTTTGTGTAGTGCGCGGTATATAACACCACTCATATTTTTATCTTGCAGTGCGTGGTATATAACACCACACATTTCTTTCTTGTAGGACTTTCCCGACGTGTTATATAAAACAACACATATTTCTTTCTTGTAGCACATGGCCGACGTGGTATATAAAAATACGCATTTCCTTCTTGTAGTGCGTGGTATATAAAACCAAAAGTTTCTTAGGAGCAAGCATAGAACCAGAAAAGATTACAGAACGCATGCAACCAGTTCTTGGTTCAAAACCCCATTTGACCTAGTAAATTAGAAATACCCCCCCCCCCTTTCACACACACACAAAGACTTATCTATCTGCATTTACATAATGTATCTGATTATACTGTAATATACAGTATAACAGCACAATCAAGTATGTATGTCTTTTTACAAACACAGATTTTTAATGGGAAACAATGACTAGGTTTATTCTAACAGCACGAAGTTTTTCTTTCCTTTTGTTACTGTTAAATAATTCTCTGCAAATGGTTTCACTATGAATTTCATATATACATGTATATTGTACCTTACGTTTACTAAATGCCATAGTGGTTGATAACGACAAGGGAATACTTGTTGAAACGTCGTGCATTTAGAATAAAACTAGTGATTGTACCCCATGAAAACTGTGTCCTATTAATGTGTTTCCCGATCACTCAATGTCACAGAAAGATTATATATGTTTTTGTGTTTCTTGTGCTTGGTTTAATAACCACACAGTTCTTTAATATGGCACGGATCAAGCATAGAATCGGGAATACTAGTATTGCCAGGATGAGAATGGAAAAAAGATAATCTAATACGACTGATACTATCAACATGTCTGTCATCAATACTATAATAATCTGGAGGCATTTCAAAAACTCTATACCTATCAGAATTATATTATGATTTGACTAAACTAATGACTAGATTATATCTTTCCAATAATTTTGTTGGATCATTAAATCAAGTAAAGAGAATTTTATCAGCACCAACCGAGTTTAACCTTCTTGTCATACATCTATGATCATATGGGATAAAACATAATTATATCTATTTCCTGTTGTAGATATAAATATTTATCATGCTGTTATAGGGTTAATTGATCTGAGCCAAGAAGCAAGCGAATGGTGGAATATACCTTAACTAATGAACATTCTGTCAGGTTCTAGTGAGTTGGATCCTGATCATATTACTTCCATTTTTTGCACTCTTTCTGGCATTATTTGTTTTGTTTTTTTTTTTATGAAAAACAATATTTATTTACAGATACCAGATTGGAGAATAGACGGAAGCTGATAAAACCCCTCTCGGATTATGGCAAAGTGAGTTAGACGATTGGACAATCGTAGCAATGGTCATTGGACGTTTATGGAATCCGAGTCGATCTTCGTAGGTATCTAGAGCATTTACATGATACCAACAATTGATCAAAGACAATATGTCACAAAGTGATCTATACCTGAAGTTGACGTTTAAATTGTGTTCGTTATTTATTTTTAATAAATAAACCGTGGGTGAGAAAGGAATGTGACAAAGTGATCTATACCTTCTGTTAAGGCACGATCTTATTAAACATCTAGTTTATTCAATATGTTCTTTACAAGCTACACGTGATCCGTGTATAACACTAGACAGAACTTCAAAGAAAATGTATTAGTGGTCAGTGCCTTGACCTGACAATGACTTTCAAAGAAATATGCAGTGTAATTACAAACACCATAATTTGATACTAAACAATACCATATATGATTATCACTCCTGTCCATCTCCCCTAATTGTTAGACGCTATATAAGCAAGCGTTTACTGACAGCAAGGCAGACTTGGAATAGAGCCCCTCCCGATTTATGTCTATTTCATGTTCTCAATAAAGGTCTTATCAATTATGCTGATCTTCTGTTATCTGTAAGATATATAGTGTGACAAACAAGCCACAGAGCAACAGGAATGTTTACAAATTGACATGGTTCTTCCTAGCATCAATAGGAATATATCAAACGATGGTAGATCTAAATGGATGCACAACTTTTTGCAAGTGCGAGTATGCACAGTACCGGGTAACATCAACAAAGGCTATTTCGCATAATTCATCACGTTCTTTCATGTTAGCAGATCACGAAAGAGATCAAACGCCCAACGCTTTTAAAGGACAATATTGGTGCCAGTCATTATCACATATGTGATAGAGCTGGTTAAACACATTTCAAATATAATTTTAACACAGAGATCATTGCTACGATAGCCGAGTAATACAGGTTTCCTGAATCGGAAGTGACGAACGCCAAAGGAAAAAACGAGTCATCCCTCTATATAACTGACTGATAATGACTGGCACCAATATTGTCCTTTAAATATTCTACTATAGTGGTAGAATAGGTCTGTGTATAAATGCATTTTTCTCGGCAACTACGGAACTGATTTACTTTCAATTCATTAAATATAAAACTTAACCAAAGAAATATAGATCCCGTTAATAATTTTGAAATAAAACAGGGTTTAACGTCCATCATACTTTTCTTCTCCGACCAGACTAATAAATATGTGTATACGCGAATCAGTATGCTATGGATATATCTTTACTACCATATAAATGCCCCTGGGTACTAACACTGTTGTACAATTGTATGATTATCATTTTTTTTGTCAATTCCGTACAATCTTTATTTATCTATCCGTATTTAGGGTTCTCGTTATACCAGACTTTATCAAAAAATTCTTGAGTGTCGAAACAGGGGGGGGGGGGGGGTTGTTTTGTTTTTTCGGTTTGGGGGATTTTGAAAAAAAGACTCAAAGAAGACCTGTAAATTAGGAGACTGAAGGCGATCCTCAACTGTCGCGGCTCACCCGTGCATACATTGGTGCCTATATCGAAGAACCCTCAATAGTTGAAATCCGAAGAATGACCAGTGGATGGCCAGTCTACCTCCCCTATCATTGCATACATAACCATGGAAATCAAAATTACCATACTAGTCTCAATATGACAAAATATTCCATTCTTATCTAACACAGGTCACAATTGTTGTTTATTATTGAACGACGTTTAGACTAGACTTCTCTAGTTTATCAAGCATTAATAAGTATTAACTTTATTTCATAGAATCCAATTCAATTACTAAATGCCATTGAAACAATTTATACTTATCTTGACGACATTATTTAAGCTCTGCTATTACATTAAAACAATAGGTGATCGGTTAGTGACGATATATTTGTCAGTCCAGTCAACTCCACTATATATTATTAATGTACAGATAATGTGGCATCGGACCACATTACTATAATCAGTCTACTAATTTCATTACTACAGATTATTAACACGTGGTAATAGAACACATTAGTATAATCTCATAGCTACAAATTATTAACATGTGGTATCAGACCACATTACTATAATCTCATAACTACAAATTATTAACACGTGGTACCAGATCACATTACTATAATCTCATAACTACAGATTATTAACACTTGGTATCAGACCGCAGTACTATAATCTCATAGCTACAAATTATTAACACGTGGTACCAGATCACATTACTATAATCTCATAACTACAGATTATTAACACTTGGTATCAGACCGCAGTACTATAATCTCATAGCTACAAATTATTAACACGTGGTACCAGATCACATTACTATAATCTCATAACTACAAATTATTAACACTAAGGGATCAGACCACATTACTATAATCTCATAACTACAGATTATTAACACGCTTATCGAGCTTTCTTTGAAAAAAAATTGTTGAATATACATATTTTAGTTACCTAAAGATTGGTATACATTAAAACATTAGGTTTTGTTTTTAGATGATATTCGGATAATATCGGGTCGAAAAATTTTGACCGGACAGTGGCGGGTCGTAATAATTATCTTCAAATTCGAAATGCAGAGGCATCTTTTACGCTCAGTGCGATTGCATACAAGGGACCTAAATGTTTTGTCGAATCTGAATTAGTGTTTTCACTAAAAACAGCACATATGTATTTGTTGAATGATAACTAGAATGGGCAAACCAGTCCAACTTCATACATAACAAGAAACTAAAATTATTTAAATCACCGGGTTTACCTATATGAATGGCAGTATGGTGCACTGGCCTCAAGATCAAGGCCGCCTCCTGCTATAAAGTGTATAATATATTTGACATTGCCATAATAAGCCTTTCTTACACGCACTGTATAGCCTTAACCATCTGTCAGCATCCTTCATGGCTTCGTCCAATTGTGTTTAAAATACACTTTCATTTTCTTCTAGTCGTGAGATTGGAGGATTAGGAGGGCGTCAAAGTGACACAGCCCTGGACCTAGCTTCATCTATACACAACACTCATTCTAGCTGTTTGCTTTTTTTCAAAATTCATATGTTTTTTGGTGTTCTGCTAATATATAAACGCAATTAAATAAATGAAATGCAATGGGGTTCAAGCTCATATTTTTTCGTGTCATCCGGGAATAATGCATACGCGCATACGCCATACTCGGCGTGGTTTCCCCTTGTCACGGGTGCAGGACAGAGGGCGTGACGTGGACAGCTGTCTATTCGTTCGGATGGGACGAAAAACCGAGGTCCCGTGTACGCCATACAGTGACAGTGGGTTTTCGACAAAGTTTCATCGAATTCTAACCGTCAAAGGCTATTTTACGTAAATGCCAACCAATTCGATTAGACGCCTTTTGCTTGCACCCCCCCCCCCCGCAATTTTGGTGGTAAATGGTTAGTTAGCGCAAATTGGTTCCGATTAAATGCATTTTAATGTTTTTCTGATTTCTTTCAACAGCTATAAAGCCATTTTTGTATTAGATGTTCACAGAAAGCCGTGATTCCCCAATATGTTAAGACAATCTCGTTATGTAACCCCATATAATAAAAATGCTAATCATATTTTGTAATCTGCTTATCTCGTTGCATACGTATAATTGCCATTTAAAACTGTCTTACCGTAAAGATTTAAAGAGCTTTGATAGAATCCAATATAATTCCTGATACTAATAGGCACCGATGTGTTGAAGTGATCACCAAACGTATTCCTGATAATATACCAAACAACTATAACAGTTGGTCTTGTAAGTACTAGTAAACATAAACTATCAGGAATCCGATACTACTCATAACACGTATAACTGTTTGGTACCGAACCTATGTCTTTAAAGCCCAGCGTTAGGTCTACGAGTATTCTGCAATATCGCCTTGATACCGTTAATTCTAGCACACAACACGATACGCGATCGATTTTTTCGGCAAGAACTGGCAAGCGGCATCACGTGAGAAGTCATTATAATCCCAAACTGCCTGTAGAAGAATTCGTTTCTCTTGTTTCTCGATAATTTACAGGGCATTGAATATCAGCAATTAATTATCGAGAATTACACCTAGTTCGTATTACATCAAAATGACAAAATCCGTGGGAAAGACAAGTATTATATGTGCTATTATGTTACTTTAAAAGAGAGAGAGAGAGAGAGAGAGAAATGGGGTTTAACGTCCACTCGACACAAACCAGGTCATTTCGGGACTAACACATGGTTTAATTTTATTTCAATAATTCGCTTGCGCGTAGGGGTCTTTAGCAGTGGGAGGAAACCAGAGGACCCGGAGAAAACCCACGAGGTTGGACAGGCGACCCTACTCCTTGTCACGTACAACCGGGAATACGAAACTACGCCAGTAGACTCAATGACAGGCTTTATGATACAGCGCGCACGTACTAACCATTCGACCATCCAACCCCCCGCATGTTACTTTAAACATTCAGTAACACGGAGAAGACGTCTTACTTCTCCGTACCAACCGGAATAATAAAGAATGGCAATGAGGGGCGTTTTGGCCTGACAGCGGGGCTACGACTTACTTTTATTTCAATTTTGCTGTCACTGGTTTAGCGGGGGCCCCTATTTGACCCATCCGAAAGACTAGACACTTTTCCTTGTTGGGATTTTCCGGTGTAGTTTCATCTTGTGAGTGGTGTAGGATAGAGGGCTTGGTAAGGCACAACGCATATTTGTCCGTATGGGCAACAAACTGGGGCCCGAGTATAGGGGGAGAGAGAGAAATGGGGTTTAACGTCCATTCGACACAAACTAGGTCATTTCGTAACTAACACATGGTTCAATTTTATTTCAATAATTCGCTTGCGCGTAGGGGCCTTTAGCAATGAGAGGAAACTGGATGATCCGGAGAAAACCCACGAAGTTGGACAGGCGACCCTACTCCTTGTCACGTACAACCGGGGAATCGAAACCACGCTTGTTTACTCAATGACAGACCTTATGATACAGCGTGTAGGTGCTATACACTCGACTATCCGAGCAAAATTTCCCCCAGAGCACACCACTGTATAGTGTATGCCCGTCTTCATTAGCCCAGTACATACAGAACAATGTGGAGTTAAGCCGGTTGATTATTGTCCATGTTCGTTAGCTTTAAGATAAGAAATCAAATTATATGGGATTGAAGTAAATATTGCAAGGAAAAAATTGACACAACGGATTAAACAATATAATAAATAGATACGATTAAAGTGCTGTACAATTAATAATAAAGTGGGCAATTTACAAGTAACCACGCCACCCATAAACAAACAGATACTCGTAAGATAAACCCACGAAGAGCACACATTAATCATATTAGGGACGGACAGAATATCACACTATTACACTATCACCATGGAACCATTATAAAGTAGTAACATTGTTAATAATTTATACACCCCCAATCACAGAGTCGCGGTGGTTCAGTGAACTGGACGTACCGCGTGTTCGATCCTGGTGTTGGCCGTGAAAACTCATCGGGATTTTCTGACGTAGTTCCCCTTGCCAGCGGTGCAGGACGGATGCGACGAAAAACCGAGGTCCCGCGTACACATTGGCCATTACTTCCGAATATTGCAAGTACCAGAGCTAGGTTACAATTTTTAAATTATTGGCAATCACAAAAACGTATGTTTACAGGAAGTGACGTTATATATAAATAGACATTGGACTCGAAAATGTTGCATGTACCGGAGCAACGTTAAAATTTCTAAATCAATTTACATATTTAACAATTTGTATCATAAAAGGCTGATTAATGACGGCAGGTGTTTTAGGATGACATAGACTTACTGCCTCTTCAAACTGTCGCATAGTTAGAAATAACGGTTTTCATGTTGAGCTTTGTGACATTAAACGGTTGTCGACTCATGCAGGTTTTCTACAATTAACCAGCCATTTAGCCAATAAAAACCACATTTAAAGACAGATTCTTCGATTTAGTTTATAAAATATAAATATAAATGTTCTTACCCACACATTTGGATACGGAAACAGATACTCGACATAACGACGTTATTCAAACGTGTATACTGCTGTCAGTTTCCTAGAGGAAGTCTCTTAAGTGAAACCCTTAATCAATGGATTCGTAGAATGGAGGAGTTCTAGTTCTAAGTGTAAATTAACTGATTGGATATATCACCTGCTATAACGTATTGCTATAACACAGAAATCTATACACCACAAATTAATAATAGATGAACGTTATAGAGAAACGGTATCAGATGTCCTCGAAAGTACAAAAACTGTCCTGTAGCATACACACACAAAATACAACACAATGGAGACTAAAATGTCTATATTATGGGATTTTAAATTATTAAGGAAACGCATCCGATTAACAGGCGTACGGAGACTGGCGTACCCCTGTACCATAAATCAAAATTAACCTTAAACGTTATGGATCGCTCGTACAGATGACTAATTCTATACTCTCTTTCTTTTATTAGTCTCGGGATCGACCCCGGTGTCGGCCGAGAATTTTTCCCCATTTCAGTAGTGCAAGAGGGTGGAGCGTCTTGCGGTTCTGGTGCGACGAGAAACCATCGTCCGACCGTGTATTTATAACATAATGGGTATGGCGTATCATCTGTTGGTACAGAAAACAAACTTTGACGTTAAACCCTATTTTATTTTCTTGGCATTTTATTTGAGTTATCGCCATTGTTGTACCTAATGATCTGACATTTTATCCTATTAATATCATTTGAGAAACGAGCACCGTCAAGCCCCATCGCTTGTTTTGAGTCATTACCTTTCTTTACTTAATGCAAAATTTGTTGGATTTTGTATCTGAAGAAGAATTCATACGTGAAACGTCATATTACATTGCATTCATATATGAATAACTGCAGGGACTGGGTCATTCTAATTTATTTAAACATACATTATGTAAAAGCTAAATCTGCCAATTGCAGGTCTTTCTTTATGTCTGAAATATTATCTAAATTAGACATTAATTAACTTATCCAGACGATAATCAACTCTCGATGTCATCGCAAGCCTGCGATATTTACCGGATTATAATCCAATCTGCTGCTCGACGCTCATTCATGATTAAATCAAAAAGTGGATAATCGAGACTATGTGTAGAAATGATGATCGAGTCTAGGCCCAAAATTCAATCACTAAATTCTCGGTCCAGAGTGGATAAATTTGACTGAAATTTTCAGCAAATTCCCTTTACATTATCTAGTTTTTAACTGTTATAGTGATGACTACCAGTTCTTTAACTAATCTCCCATAATGTATCTTTAAATATTGAAGTTGTAATTCCTATGTTGGATTAACATCGTCGATTTGTTTAACTTCCACTCAACATTAATTAGGTTATTTCGGGACTATCATATGATTCAATTTTATTGCAATAATTCGCTTGCGAGTAGCAATGGGAAGAAACCGAAGGACCCGGAGGAAACCCACGAGGTTGGACAGGGCAATTCACAGTTTCATGCCAGGCAATGTGTATTTAAAAATATCAATCAACCATTCTTGACCAGTTTTTTTGTGAGCGTTTTTTTAGTTTATGTCTTATACTCTTTCATTTCTTTAGCATGACATTTTTCATACCAACATTAAACAAAAACCCTAATGTAATGCCTAGTTATTTGTATGATACGAAACACGTTGGCGTGCACGTGAAAGAACCATTGACAATTGCAATCCGTTGAAGAGAAGGTGAAACTCCATTGTCCCGGCAAACGTTCCCCCATATCATACAATTTCCCCCCAGTTTCATTTCTTTTCTATTTTATTGGTGTGTTTGAGAATTTGTAAATACTACCCTTTCACAATATATACAAGCTTATATATATACAGACGGGAATTAATTATCCGTAACATTTTCTCATCATAGACACCGTCATAATTAGCGTTCAATCACCGTTTGATCATAAAAATAACTGTAGCAACTGGAAACCTTTAAATCGATTCTGTGATTATTATAAACATGTGACTAGAACATGATACGAAGGTATGCTTACCAATCGTGCTGTTTCATGATCAAACGATTTTATTAAATAATCTCTATTGAATATTTATTGATGATACCCTGATCGATTGGTTATTTTCTATATTAGTATGTTGACATACTTACACAGTTTTTATCCCGGTGTGGAGGCCGAACGGTTAGCACGTGCGGGCTGTGTCATAAGGTCTGTTATTGAGTCATCTGGCGTGGTTTCGATTCCTCGGTTGTACGTGACAATGAGCAGGGTCGCTTTTCCAACCTCATGGGTCTTTTCCCCACTGCTAAAGATCCCTACGCCCAAGTGAATTAATAAAATAAAATTAAACCATATGTTAGTCCCGAAATGACCCAAATTGTTTTTAATGGAGGTAAAATCTCTCTCTCTCTCTCTCTCTCTCTCTCTCTCTCTCGATCGATATAACTTGCACTCATTCAAATTCATTCTGCGTGATGTTATGAGTGTTGAGAGCAGAGGCGTAGATTGTTTTTTTTGTTTTTTTTTTTATCGTAGCACTGTACTCCACAAACGAGAGTATGTCAGGGCTATCCATTTTATCGCGGGCGTTCATTTGATTATAGTCTTGTTATTTCATATCACGGTAACCTTTAGGTTCCGGCTATCACCCTGCTGGCCGAGACAATACGTCGAGGTTATCCAGTCTGCATGATTTCCCACTGCATGTTATAAAGGACGCAGGACCTGGAAACATTTCTCCTAGTCAGTGATAAAAGACGGAGGACCTGTAAAACCTTGTCAGTTAAATAGGACGACAGTGATAAAGCCAAGCACGGAGGACTTGGAAAGAACAAAAGCCTCTAGTCCTTCGGGTTATGCGAAAAACTTAGATAGGTAAAAGTACCCTTGCCAGTTGA